TGACGAGTCCGGGGGACCAGGGATAAGGAAGGGCCGACAAGTGACGTTTGGCAAAAAGGGGGGAAACGGATAATGGAAACCGCCTTCATCAAGGAACTCTAAGGAAGAGTCATCAGATTCTTGTTGAGAAGGGAAGCTTAGGATGGGACGCCTAGGAACTGGCATTTCTATTACTCCAGCTGTGAAGTGCTCTTCTAGGGTTTGGAGGTAAGAAGGGTAAGGGGTTGCTGCTCTTTGGGGTTCAGTCGTTGGAGAATTGTTACGCCTAGGAGCCAAAGGACGACAGCGCGGGTCCAGATTAGAAGTCTCATTGTTTCTGGCGCGGTTGTTGCGCTCAGCAGGCATTGGCAGTAGGCAAAGAAGGATTTTTCTTGAAAAAACCAGCAAGAGAATACAAAAGAAACCCAGTACTACAGACAAGATGATACCCCAGTCCCTAATCTTGGTGTTCTCTTATGTACTCAAAATACACCTGAGTGGGATTATTGGAATCCCTGTTGGCCGCAATGACTGGAAGGGTGGTGGTGGTATGGGGGAGGGGGCGCTGTGCGGTGGCGGCAATGTTGAATGCCCACTGGTGCTCCCTCTCTAGGTGTCGGATGGTGAGACGAAGGGTGAGGGGGACAATGAGGGCAAGGGCGAGGACGGAGAGGAGGGTGGTGAGGAAGAAGCCCAGTAGGGCTAGGAGTAGGAGGTGGGGGTGCTCGTTGACGACGGCGAGGGTGACGGCGGTAAAGGGGGCGACTTGGTTCACCACTAAGCAAGTCAGTAAACGGTGTGGGGGTTAGCTCGACTGGGGACGTTACTTGTGCTCCGTTATTGGCCCAGTTGAGGGCTTGTTCGTCGATAGGGGTGGTGGAGAGTGGAGTGGGGGTGCGTTCAAGGTGGACCTTGAAAGTGTAGCTGTCTTTGAGGTAGTAGACAGCAAAGGCGATGATGAGGATGAGGAGGGTGATGAGTGTCCAGCTGACAAGGAGGAGTGCGGCGAGGATAGTGACGGATGCCATTGAGGAGGGCTGAAATGCGTAGTTCTTATAAGGAGTTACCCTTTGTTTGGTTGCAGAAAGTCTGCCAAAGCATCTTTGCCATGTGAAAGTTCGGCTTTCAGTAGCCAGGAGTCGTCCGAAGCCGGGTATCCTTTCCATCTTACCCGGTACAGTGTTCGCTTGCCGACTATCTTTGAATCAATGATACGTTCGATTTCGAATTCTTCCTGATTTTTGATTAGTTCCGGCGGAGGTTGGAGGTAATTCTTCCCATGCATTTCAGTTTCCGAATAAGGATAGAGTAATCCGGCATGGAATACAGGGTGAATCTTCCATTTTGGTGGTAACTTCAGCCAATAAACTACCGGTGACAGCTTCTGATCAATGGTGAAGGGTCCATAATGCTTGGGTCCAAGTTTGGCTTTTGGATGGAGTCCCTTGAGGTTGGTGGCTTCTAGCCATACCTTTTGTCCTGGCATGTATTTGACAAACTTGTCCTTATTCCGTTTCTTGACTGTTTCTTCTGCGAGTCGAATACTGGATTGGATTTCAGTTCGGAAGTGTGCTAGCTGAGTGAGTCTAGAAGTGATGTCTGGTGCATCTGTTGTTCCCACAGTGGGAATATTATGCCGGGGTTGGTAGCCCATAAGTGCTTGGAAGGGGGACGTCTTGATGGCATCATGATATCTGTTATTGTGCGCGAATTCTGCTAATGGTAAGTGACTTGTCCAGTCAGTTGCTCGGTGATTGCAAAAGATCTGAAGATACAATTCCAAGTCTTGGTTGACATGCTCCGACTGTCCATTGGTCTGAGGATGGAAGGCGCTAGAAATGTTCTGTTTGATGCTTAATTTAGTGCAGAGTTCTCTGAACATTCGTGATGCGAACTGTGGTCCTCGGTCGGAGATAGCCTTGAGGGGTAGTCCAAATCATTGGAAGACATGGTTCTGATACAGGGTAGCTGTTTCGGATGCTGTAACTGTCTTGTTGCAGGGTATGAATACCGAAGCCTTGGTACAGTCGTGATCCGTAACCACTAGGCAACTGTCGAAGTCATTACTCCGGGGTAGATCCGTGATGAAGTCCATGGTGATGGATTGGAATGGAAGGTGATGTTCTGTTGTGATTGGTACTAGATCTGGTGAGTTCCTATGTGTGATGACTTTGTTTTCCTGACATGTTGCACAACCAGTGACGTATTCACTGACGTCGCGCGCAAGGGTGGGCCACCAGTAGGTTCTTTGCAAGATTTCCTGGGTCTTGTATCGCCC